ATGAAAATAAGATCCAAAGAAATAAAGAGATAAATCTAGAAAACATAGTTATTGTAATTAGGACCATGTATCTCTGATATTCCTAGAAATCCATACAAAAAGGAAAACCTTAAATATCATGTAACTTTCATTATGAGATAACATTCCATAGGGAAAGACAGCTTTCACCCAATGCTAAATTCTAAAAGAAATTCCACACCTATGTCTTTATGAAGTAAAAAGGCACTAAGCATATGCACTGAGAAACTTTGTAGCAAATGCAGATGTGTGTTATGTGCTTCCTACTCAATGACCAAACAAGCTGTTGAAGAAACAAAGTTGAAATAGATCGTGTTGCCCAAAGCGCCCAAAATGTTATCCATGGAGATCATGGCTTCTTGACAATCTCCTAGATGTATCATTTTTTCAGCCACATTTTTGGTGAAAGATACCAGCAGTTTGTCTCCTTCCTAACACCATTACATCTATAAGGGAGTAGCTACAGTCCAACCCATTGATTTCTCTCTTGCACTTAATATAGTAGCTTGCACAAAGGAGGAAATTGATTAAATTAAGGTAACTTTTCTATTGACATTTCTTTACTTCTGTGTAAATGTCACAGACTTTTAAGGGCTGAAGGCAGACCATCCAAAACCACTTAAATTTACCTGTTTGCTAGTTATCATAGAGCTTGGTGAATGCTAAGTATATTGCTATAAATGTGGTAAATGAATAAACATGTGTAATTGAAATGTGTCCAGTTCATTCATGGCATTTACCTAACTGCTCACATGCTGTGACTTTCCTAGTGAGATGCTTTACTATTGAATGCCCTCCATCCATCATTTCTCTGCCTAGAAAATGATCCCTGCTTCTGTTCTGCCAAGCAATGTCCCTTTTTCCCTCCAATCTGAAAAGAAAGGTCCATCCTTCTCTGGACGCATTTTTAGGTTAATCTCACCTGGCTTTTCATTGCTTAAACTTTTGGGGGTGTGAAATGAGCTACAGCACCTGGCTGCAGTATTTGCAGTGTGCATTATTATTCTTTTTAGCTTTAGTGTGTCCAAAGACTTAAAACATGGCTACCTAAGCTCCTGCTACAGGGAAGAATTTTTATCATAGCAAACACAGTTTGAGGAGCGAGACAAAGGAGAAGAAACCTAAGCAGGGTCTGAGAAGAGAGGCAGAAGATTTAATACCATAAAAGTAGCCTTAGGATATCCTTTTTTCTCTACCTAGAATTCATCTGTGAGAGTATTTTTATATTCCATCTATAATCTCAAAAATAATGGTTGTGTATAGATGCTTCTTTTCTCTCATGAAGTTTTCCTGAGGTAAGGAGTCCCTTAGAGGGCACATAGCCCATAAAAATGGTAATAAAGATTTAGAAACAGGTTTCCAGGAGGCATTAGTATGTCAACAGGTAACACTGTATGGAGTTTTCACATGACACTAAATTTCTACTGATTTTAGACTGCTATGTACAATGCTAGTGACATTACCAAAATCTGCAGATCTGGAACTTTTCAAATTTTAGAAAATACTCACTCTAGTTGTAACATTCACAGAGAGTCCCTCTAAAATCTGATTTTCTTGCAAGAAAAGAAAATTGAGGCAGAATGAACTTCAGTCGCATGCTTTACTTATAGAACCTTAATATAAATATTCACTTTTAATTTAGCTTTCAGATCTTTGTCTTTCCAAAATGAAAGGTGATTTAAGATAGGGTCATTAATCTCTTATTTTTCAATACATTTTAATATGTTGTTTTTTCTTTATTTCTTAAAAAACTGAATAGATTTTCATAAATCTCTGCTTTATACTCTGCCCACCATGAATACATACTGGAAAAAAATGGGCACAGTCAGAAAAGGATGAGTTTGAATTGTCAGGATTTGAAATGCAGGTGGTCCATTTCAAATTAAATTCCAAATTCTAATATCTACTGTTGACAGTTAAATATAATATATATAATATATAATATATATATAATATGTGAATGAAATTCTCCTTAGGTCAATATTTAATACAAAAATGTGATTGTATCAGAACTTTATAAAGTTTTTGGAAAAGTATTTTGTTGAGTAATTCTAAATAATCCAAGACAACATATATACAACATTAACTGCAACTTGTTTTCTTGTGTCAAATTGGAGACAAAAAATGTAGAGAACATGTCAGAATATGATTATGCATGCTTTTTTCATGTGGATACATAATCTCTAGCTCTTTCTGGAGAATAGTGTTTTGATTTGTTTTATTTTATTTTAGACTCTCAGGATTGACTAGCTGTTCTTTACTGGATAGCCATTATTTTTATAGATTTTCCTCCAGTTCTGCTTTCTTCTAGAATAGCCATAAATTAAAATAATTTAGCACTAGGGCCATAATAGTTCATGTCAGTAGTAAATATATAATAAATAAGCTAGATAAAAATATTTAAATTGTTTTCAGTAATTTTTTCTAATTAAATTTTTGTCCAAACTGTATTTTGAACTTAAGAAATTGATGTATCTCTTCAGGAGCTGTTAAAAGAGATGTCCAAGGGATAGGAAAAAAATCATAGCAATAGGTAATTGAGTCTAAACATCTTCAAAGTATATTTTTAATAAAGCATCCTTCAAGAGGTTCCCCTACATAGTTTGAGTGCCTTCAAAATGTTATCTAGTGAATTAGATGTTTATATATAGAGAGAGAGAAAGAGAGAACCTTAGATGAGTAGAAAAAAAGAAAGATCTCCAATTTGACTATGACTGCATTCTGTGTTTCCCTGTCTATAATGGACAACAAAATCACCTGGGAGCTTGTCACAACACAGATGTCTGGACCTTACCCCTGAGTTTCTGATTCAATTGGCCTGCAGTAGGGTTGTGGAATTTGGATTTTTAGTATGTTCTTGGTAAGGCTGAATCTGCTTGTCTAGAGAATATACTGTGATAATCTGTTGTGGAGAGCCAGAGACATAGAAAACTATGTAGAAAAATATTCACTGCATGGTAGATATTAAGCAGAATAAGACACTAGGGATGTAAGTAAACACAAGAAGACAGCTATCTTGAAGGGAGATTGAAGAGTAACTATGATTCAGGACCTTTACCCTCACAGCAAAAACTAATCAGATCCAATGATGTGTCAGGAGTTTTCAAGCAATGCAAATATAACTAGAGACTCTTCATATTGGATAGACATTCCTTGGTATTTTTAAAAGTCAAGATTGGCATGAAGAAATCTACAAGAATCTGAACCAATGATAAACTCAAAGTTCTCCAAGTTCTGTTTTGATACACATTATCTCTTCTGCAACTGTGTCAGTCCTTAAGAGTTCAAGTATTTTCCATAAGGAAGTCCTTCATGAGCTTCCTAGAACACTTCTGACCTACATCCTTTAGTACTCTTCAAGGGCTTTGTTTCCTAAGCTGTACTAAATCCATTCAGATAAACACTGAAATAAAATTATTCTTCTGCCCTCAAAGGGAGAACAACGTCATCTCTAACATTAGCAATAACAAGGCTCATCTTTCTGTTGGTAAATCTATTTCAGGCTTTATTAAAGGAATAGTAATGGGTTTCTGTCCTTAAATTAGTTTTATCTGTTTATCAAATTAAAGTACAAGATGCTAAATTCAGGGATATTAAATAGAGTCTCCATTGTCTCAGCTCTTTGTTCAGCAGATAAAAGGTCCTACACAAACACTCTCAATTTATTCAAGTCATTGAAAGAAATGGGGCCATGCTCTATCCAGTTCTGTTCTCATTTAGCGTAACAGCTCTGTGTGTTCACTGGAAATTCCCTATATACGAATAGCAAAGTGTCAGTGTTGACTATGGTCTGGGGAAGACATCAGGCCTTTTTATTGGAATAAACAATTAATTATATTAGGCTTCTTCGAAAGATAGGAGCTATATCATTTCCTTGCTGGCCTGAAGAAGATTTTAGAATCAGAATGTGTCAGCCTATAGGCATACTTTTATATGAAAATTAAAATCTCGAATAAATAAAAGTCAGGAAACAAGATTAGTAATTGAAAGAGAAAAGTCTCCAGCTGAGTCTAAGGAAGAGCATCAGGATAACTAAGAGAAATCTCCAATTAAGGGTCACAGTTAAGAGAAAGAATTCAGTAGGTTTTCTGGAAAAAGAAAGCCTAGGGATTCAACGTCTTTTGTCACATAGAAAGGTCTCCACCTTGTGGTGGCTCACCAATGACGTTTACACGTCTAGGTTATACACTCCCTCCTTTAGAGCAATCATGTAGCTTCTGGTTTTAAATTAGAGGTTGTTAAGCTTTGAATTGAATAAAAAGTCAATAACATAGCAACATTTTGAAAGAGAATACTGAAAATCTTTTTCTGTTGTTCTCTGACCATGTATATCTTTTTAAAAGATGAATTACACTTAGTAAGAGAAAGGCCTACATAATGGCACAGCAATTCTATGAGATTATCATTCATATTGATCATCATACACATAAACTATAGGATGCCTGGGAGTAGTGGCATGTGCCTATAATCAGCTAGTCAAGAGGCTGAGGCAGGAAATCCCAGCAAGTCAAGAGCAGACTAACCAACTTAGCATGACCTGGTCTCAGAAAATAAAAAGGGCTGGCAATGTATATAGTTCAGTGGATGTATGGAAGACCTGACATCAACCGCACTACAACCAAACCAAACCAAAACAAACCAAATAACAGCAACAAAAAAAAACTATTGGGGAACATAGAAAAGTCAAATAGAAAAATTAGATACCCAAGTGATAAATGCAATGATTTTTACCTCTGTAAAATAATATATGAGAATGTAAACCAGGACAAGAGGTATTATGAAAAATTTTAAATTGCATTTCACATCATGAAATGCCATGTAATTCTTCTACTGTTCTACACTATCAGATAACAAAGTATTGGAGTTTTATATTGAAATGTTCATCCATTTCTATCCCATAATTTCAATGTCCACAAGATTAAAGAACTAAAAATGCAGTTTATGGTTTTTATTTGTATTTTCTATATATTTTTCTTCCCTAGGAATGAAAACTCATCAATGCCAACACTCACTACTGGAGGAGGGCCATTTGTAAAATTAAGCACAGCACTGAATGGCAGCTTAATTCTAACACCCAGGTGGGTTCTAAACTAAGAAGTTTATTCTTGCACTAGGTGTGCATGTACTGGAAACAAGATAGGTTTTTGAAACCAGTCAGATTGAAATGCTACCACATGTTGGCCATTACTGTCGAAAGGTATTTAATTTATTGTATTCTTTGGGCAATTTCAAACAATATCTAATTGATCCTTTCTGATAATATTGCCTTTTTATCTATTCCTTAGCAAATAGAACATGATTATTAAATGAAGATGTCTAAACTTCTAGTTGGGCCTATACTTTCTCTTGCTTTTTAAAGCCAGGATTTTTAAAGCCTTTCCTACACTAATAAAAATCAGCATCTTTCCTGTGTTCAAAGGTCTATTTTAGCTTAGATTATATCATTTCTCCTGTTAGACGTAAATGGTAATTCTTGTTTCAAGTTTTTGTATGGGATTCTGCAATTTATAGTTCCATTAAAGGCCAGCTGTAGGTGACAAGAAATTAACTGCAAAAAAAGAAATTAACTGCAAGAAGCAGCTGAAATTACAGTTAAGAAATTAAGATGGTAATAGTGATGTATTTTGTTTAACACATTTAATGGTAAGTATTATTAAGTATTCATGAAAACTCAGTATTTCTGTGAACTCAACTAGTAAAACAAATTGGTAGAGGAGTATTTTTAATACTAATAAAAGGATCTTTCAATGAAATGTTCTATATTAATGTTTGCTGGGCCTTAACTGATCTTATGAGTTTCATTGGGGATGAAACCAACCATTTGCCAATGAGAAAGCAGCCATATAGATTCCTTCCTATAATTCATGCCTAAATTTATGTTATCATTAGATTTCTTCAAGGTACTTGCATATTGAAAGCTTCAACTATGCATGTTTTATAGACATTTAAGAATTAGGAAAAGCAACGGAGAAAATTCAAAACCAGTTCAATTATATACATGTTTCAGAGCAGGACTACTTTATTCCATACCTACAAAAAATAAACAACAACAGCAACAACAAAAACATCAGTATCAATTTACACTGGTTTCACTACAAAGAGCATGTTCACAATATTCAGAATTGAAAGCATTAATAGACAAACTTTCAGCCACCCAATAAGCCAGTTGGATAAATAGCCTTAATCTCTTCCTTAATTATCTACATTTTACTGGGTTGCCAAAAATTCAGATTCATTCACTTATTTGGTTAGTTAATTTATTCATTTACTTAATGCTGAGATGCTTATATTTATTCCCTTATGAAAACTGATGTTTTTGAAGATACCCTTGTACTAGTGGGTTGCAATAAAAAAATTTACAAATGAAAAAGGGTTTCAGGGAAAATGATTCTCCCAACTATGAAAATCTACTAGCCTGTATCCCCACTTTTTATCCTATTGTGAGACATATACAAAATTCAGACCACCATTCACCAGCACTGGAAAAAGGCCACTCAAAGTGAAATCAGCGATATGACAGACATGATTAGAAACATTAAACAATTCATGCAGCTGACAATACTAGGCTTTCCTTTCTTTTAAACCTTTGGTAACTTCAATAATAGTTCTAGAAGTGAATGAAAATTTGACGTAATATGTATTGATCAACGTTCTGTTCTAAACTTGATGATACATATATGATACAAAGTGTTTATCAAATATTTTAACTATCTAACATGTGACAGCACTGTAGTGGAAATATCCCTGGAGTTATTTTCAACCCATGCAAAAGCTCTATGACTGACAATACAGTTTCCGCAAGAGGATGAGGAAAAGGACACCTGGCCTGATCATTGACTTCCACACGTTCACAAAGCTAGTAAACAGTGTGAAGATTCTAACCCAAGTCTGACTGCAAAGCCTTCTACTTCTCTACTCTAACGTGCTACTTTTAAATTTCCTAAGGCAGCAGTTCACGTTAAATAGTAATTTTGTAAAGGAAAAAGGAATAACAAGCATGTACTTTTCAATAAGATTAAAGGTCATATTGCACATAAATTTTGAGATAAATTACTTCTTTATTGTCAAGGGTAATATAAACACCATTACCTTACTGGGCCAAGAATAAAACATAGGACCACAACATTCTCATTCTTGCTACACAGAGTGATAACCCAGGTCTGACTTTAGAAGCAGTGGCCAGGACAGTAATTCTGTTTCTCTCCAAATTCTAAGAATAGATGTTGTCAAAGTAGGACTTACTGCTTATTCTTCATAGAGAACAAGCAAGTTACTCTTCTACCCTGAGACACTGCATGTATTTTATAAGAAAATTTTGATTACTCAAAATTCATAGAAAAGGAGGTGCTAAATTCAGTTGAATTTTCTAGTTAACTATTAAGTTCATCAGAAATTGTCCTGTACTTTTAAAAATGAAATTAAGTATTGCTTAATCTTTCTGACACCATTACAGTTACCTTAGAAAGAGGGACAATTTTGAAATGATATTTATTGATAATTGCTATAAATGTAGAAAGAATTTAAATGAGAATTGAAAATATTCCTCAAACACAAGAGGATATCAGAATTATTGGTATCTTCTTTGTGATGTTATATATTAAGGTACCAAGAAAAAATATTGAAACATTAACATTGTTATTAATAAAATATAAATGTATTTTTTCATATGTATATTGAAATTTTTCTCTATTGTAAAGAGTATGTCAATCAGACAACCTAGATGTATGTGAAAAATTTATCATGTATACTCCAGAAACATCAAATTGCTTTGATTGTTTTTCTATTGCTGGCCAAAGTTTAAGCACCTAAATAACATGCATAATTAGGCAAAGTTAAGTACTGTATATAAATATAAATAGCTGAAATTATTTGTGTAAATGTGTGTGTGTTAATGTGCCAAATATCTGCAGTAGCTGCATTAGGTTTTGTGGCCAAGTACAGTACTATAATTCTTTGTGTTATGCTGATCTCTAGTGGTGGATTTGTATAACATATTGTAAAACAATCTTTCTTTGTTTAAAGTCTTATTTAAAAAAGAATTCTTGGCTTTGAAAAAAAAAGTGGCCTCCAAATTTTTGAATAAATAATGAGTTTTTCAATAATTTATGCACATACTTTATTTTATATTTTTGATTTACATGTCTTCCTGCCATAAAGCAAGATGAGTGAGTCATTCATCATTCAAGTCTTTGAATGAAGCTCACAGCCTCACACAAGGTGTTTGGCACTGAATAGTTGTGAGACAGGCAGTGCTGAGGTCTACTCTGTACAGTAGTCCCTCCTTAATATAGTTTATCTTTCCACAGTTTTAGTCACTAACGGTCAACCACAGTCTAAAAATAGTAAATGAAAATTTAAAAAAAATAAATAATTCTTAAAATATATGCCATTCTGAGCAGTATATTGAGATCTTATGTTGCCTTGCTCTGTCCTGCCTGGGATGGGAATTAGTCATTTATCCAGCATACTTCACAGATATGATAAATACATGACCTTTCCATTAGTATTTATGAGTTGACTCATTTGTCAGATTGACCTGTGGTGTCTCAGGGCTTGTATTCTGATGACCCTTGTTTTATTTAATAATGACCACTAAGCACGAGAGCAGTGATGGTGCCTTTTAGGATATGCCAAAGGGAGTCATGAAGTATTCCCTTTAAGTTAGAAGTTGAAATCTTTTGAGAAAGAAAATAAGTCATATACTAAAGTTACAAAGGTCTTTTATTCATTATAAGAATGAATCTTTTATCTATGAAACGTGAAGAAGGAAAAAAGATGTTTATGCTAATTTTGTCACAGTCCAATCTGTAAAACTTATAGCCACAATATGTGGTAAGTATTTAGTTATAGTGAAAAAAGCATTAAATTATAAAGTTCAGTAGTGTCTATGGTTTTAGGTATCTGCTGGGGTTCCTTATCTTTGAGTCCTCCCAGGGGACTATTGTATTATAGAATGATGAAATACAAGGTTGGTTGACTCAAAAAGATAATAGCTATCATTAATAAAGTGTTCATTATGTATGAGATTCCAATCCATTAATCCTTTTTACACCCATCTGATGAGTAAGGAAGCTGAATCTCAAGGATATTGAGCAACCTACCCCAAATTATACAAATAGTGTCCTACTCAGCTTTTCTATCACTGTGATGCTATATCTGACATCCACAACTTCAAGAAGGAGAGGTTTAATTTGGTTGATGGTTTTAGGGGATCCAGTCAATGGTCAGGTGGCTTTAAGGCAGAAACATCATGGTGGAAGGGTATGGCAGAACAAAGTTGCTCAGTTCATGGTGGCTGGGAAACAGAGCAGGGGAACAGCACTAGAGTGGAAGGGGCCAGGGACCTCCATTTATTGTACTCAAGGTCACATCTCCATGACCTGCCCAGACATACTCCAGAGTGTCCTTTACTAATCTGCTAGGTGTTTCTTAACAAAATCAAGTTGACAAATCTTAATTAATGGTCACAAAGATCAAGTGGTAGAGTAAGGGTTCAAACATCTCTATTTTACATTAAATTAGGGCATTTTCTGCTATGAATTGCAGCCTTCGTGTAATTCACATGTGATATGTAGATTAAAAACTTCTTTTAACTAAAAAGTTAGACTATAGGACTGACATTTTATTTTATTTTAAAACATTAAGTGCATAATTTTTGATATATATTATTCTTCTATTTCAGTGAACAGTGCTTACAAGATTATCTGATACTGTTGCAATGTAACTATAAATGTAAGTAAACATTTTGTCATGATGTCCTTCAACTATTCAATTTAAATTTCTAAGAAGAGCTTTATGTCACCTAGAGTTATTTTGTCCCCATTCAATTTTTAATATTGCAAAGAAATACAGTGATTACTCCATTGTCGAATGTTTCCAAACTTGGAACTTTCTACTACTCGAGCAGCAAAGTTTGAAAAATACCTGTTTGGTGTTCATAAGTTTGCTCAAAAATCAAAGCAAAAATCCAACTTGGAAAATCCCATACCAAGCCAAGAATGAGTCATGCATGTGTCTCACCAAAGACACAAAGGTGTGATGCTTCAGCCTAAGTGCTGCTCTCACCCAGCCAACAAATAATGCTTGTTTTTGTTAGTGCATTAAAACATTCACCACTGTGGTTTTTTAAGTGTTTTATTATCATAAAATATCATAACTATAGCTCCAAAGAAAGTTAGTGATACCAACAGTAAAGTGAAAACTGTGAGAACTATATAGAGTTTTTAAAATTGTAAAATTTGTTAACATACTGGAAAAATGAATTTATAAGTAATTTGGGGGCCTCAGAACCAATTATTTGATTTTCCATTATTTCTTATGGGAAAAATATGTTCAGTTCTTAAACTTTTCAATGTTTGAACACAAATTTGAAACAAATTGAGTTCGATAACCAAGGTATAACTGTACTGCAAAGTAAAATATATGTTCATTTTTCAATTATTTTAATAGCATGTGGAAAAAAACTGGTGGCTCAAGAAGTTAGCCCAAAGATTGTTGGGGGAACTGATGCCAAAGAAGGGGCCTGGCCCTGGCATGTTGGTCTATCTTATAACGGCCAACTGCTCTGTGGTGCGTCTCTCGTCAGCAATGCCTGGCTGGTGTCTGCCGCACACTGTGTTTATGGGTGAGTATGATGTCACTCATCCCTTCCCAAACAATGGAACCGCTGCAGATGTTGCCAATCATCCTATTTCATGCAACCTCCCCAAACCATCCCACCAGTTGTGTTTATTACTGTTGTGGCATTATAAACTTGCTAATTATTTTCTATTAAAGTTATATATAAATGATATATAAAATCTTATAAAAATAAATTTCAATTTAAAAACATCAGTTACATATATCAAATTTTGCATTTCATTTTCAATGAAAATTGAAAATTTCTACCTAGTCAAAAAAATGAACATTTTTGGAGTGTAGAATTAACTAGTATTTAATGTATAAATTGTGCTTCTTGCCATTTAATTGGGATAATATTTGTTGTTTGCAAATAGTCAATATTAAACAGCATATATAGGGAGCCCTCAAGTTGCAAATATATTTTGGCCTAAAAGTTCATATATAAGCACTTTGTTGTGAACAAAAATGTTTAGATCTCATTAGATCTATTTAATGTTATGTGTGATCAAAATTAAAACTAATATCAATCATACTTAACAGTGCTTTTGTTTAAAAATAGGATGAAAAATATATGCCGAATGCTAGAATTTATTTCCTCTTTCTGAAAGCAGTCACTCCTAAAGCTGTGCCCCATGAAGGTATAGAGTGGTTCCAGAGGAGCAAGGGGAAAAGGAAAAAAAATAAATGATTCTGGGCCCGGGAACACATTACTTTTCTCCTCCAACACGAGAAGGCACCTCTTTAGATAGTTCTGAAGTAGTTCAGAGTAAAAAAGGAAAAAATGGTAGCTTCCCCATAAGAGATTTATGACTTCGCCCAGGACTGATTTCCTGTCTCCGAGTAGTCAAGGCCACCACAGAATGACCTTACCTGTGAGGATTAAGAAGACCCTCTCACACCTGACCTGTGTGTTCAGGCATGGAAGACACAAGTGTAGTTAATCAGACTAAAGACTAAAACTCTCTAAGAACATGGACAGTGAAAATTATTGCATAAATAAAGACAAATCGTCAGACGGAAGTTTGTCATGAATGTTTTACGGAAAATGGAGAACGCCAGGGAGAATAAGCATTAAAGGAGTGAGCCTATGCCTAAACACCATTGGCACTAGAATGAGAATAATCATACTAGTTTGATCCTAGAAATCTGGAGAGATAGGACTCTTTGTCACATCTAGGGTAGCCCATCCACTGGTCTCCAGGGGAGCTCTCTAAGTGAGGTACTGTCCCATCTACATCTAAAGCTCTCTGATATTGTACAGTAGGTGCTATATCTAGGTTAATAAATACAGCGTCTCTCACATTCAATGTGCCCCAGCTTGACTTTTCTACCTCTTGGTAAGTGTGCTTTTATCTGATTTCAATCATGCTATCACAATATTTCTAGCAATCAAGTTTTCCATCCTCTGTTAAATTTGGCTTTAATCTTTACTTACACATGTTCTCTGCATAACTATGCTGCATATAAAGGGGATTTAAACTAAAGTATTAGTCATTTATGTCACATGTAGGTAGTTCTTAGTAAGTTAGCAACCCTGCAATATTAACCCTGCATTTGGTAAATTCCTCTGTTTGATGATCTTACAGAACATACGCCTTCTAAATGTCAACCAGGCTATCAGTATTAGTGACATCTTTCAATTATCTCCCTTACAAATGTACTTTTCATGGGTCAGTGACACCAATATATCTTTTCAAGCCACATATATATATATATGAAGGAAATAGAAAGGCAGTTTCATCTATTACAAACACATGTTCAATCATACAGAACATAAAATGTATTCACAGTGTCAAATTGAACACAAATGAACAAAAATGAGCTGTGCTAGAATTGTGATGAATTCAAAATTATCGTTATAACTTTGCATTTGACTATTTTTAGTCACTTAGTGGAACTAGTTTTTCTTTGTCTAGTAACCAAGAGATGTCTTGCCTTTTTGCTTCATGTTTCTAGCAAAGTAAAAAAACTTTTTTCTTATAGTATTTTAAATATTTTTATAGAAAAATTTTACCAGTATGCTAACACTGTTTCTAGAGTCTTTAAAAAAATCCTAATTATGCAGTGAAAAGTTTAATTTCCTAATAAAAAGAATAACCCAGTTAAAGCAACATATTGAACACATACCACATAAATGGCTTGTATTGAATGCAAACTTATTCCAGGATTTTTTTCTTTAAAAATATTTTTTCCAGAAAATAACAGTTTACTATTTCTCACAGTTTGGTAATCGGGGCTGGCTTGGCCAGTTCTGCTCTCTGTGGTGTCTGCCGGACTTAGAAATCCCAGATGGTGGCTTCACCACCTGCTCTGTTACCTCAGCTGGGATGATCAAACCCCTAGTGGCTGTCTGGGCATTTCTCTTTCCATATACCTTTGCTACACAGCTTGTGCTTTCTCAGAGAATGGTGGTTGTTACAGATTAGATTTAAAAATGGTCCTCAAATCTCATGTATTTGGAAGGCAAATTTACCACGTGTACACTGTACTCATCAGTGGACTCATCCACTAATTAGTTCAGTAGTTGAATGTGCTGTTAGGTGGTGGGGCCTGGTTGGAAGAGGGTCACTGGAGGTGTGACCTGGAAGTATGTATTCTTGTCCTGGCCTCCTTCCTTTGCTCTCTACTTACTGGCTGGCATGGGTTGATCACTTTTATCTCTGCCATCACCTCTGCCATGCTGTTTCTGCCTTGGACCCAGCTGACCACGGACTGAAACAGTGAGCACACACAAAAAAATCTCTCCTCCTTTAAGTTGTGACTGTCAGGTATTTTGTCAGGGACAAGAAAGTGATTAAGACCACTATTTTGAAGTAGCTGACTTCTTATATAGTGGTTCAGAAATGATAGAATGTCATTTTTGCCACATTTTTTCAAACTAAGTCAAAAAGGGAAGTGGAATATATGTACAAGGAAGAATGAATTTGGCAGATCCCATTTTTTCGGAACTACCTACCACACCTGGGAAAGATTTGTCTTTCATTTAGGAAGGTTCACCCTCCCCAGTGACTTTTAGATACATCTCATTACCACATGTCACGTGGTCAGTCCTAGGTAAAAGGAAGGTTGGGAATTCAAATATTTCCCTCCCTACTTCTGCAGTTGAAATCAGCAGAGATAAAGAGGATTGGGTTGGGTGTTCTGAGCTCTCCTCTATTTTCTGCCCCACTCCATCTAGTACAGAAATGCCACAGGGAAATGATTCTATAACTCTCCATAAGATATTTTGAAAACCTTCTCCAGCACTAAATCTGTTCCTCCACATTTGCTAATTTGCTAATATGGCGTTTTGTCACCTCCTTTCTCTATGGTCCATTTTCTCAGCTCTTTTCTTAGTAATCATTAATATGTATTAATTGTATAAATGCATTTGCTGTGATATTTCCATATATTCATATATCATACATTGATCATGTCCACACACCCTTCTTTTACCCCATCCCATGCCGCCCTTTTCAGTCCCTAAAAGTCTGTTTTCTACATTATACTTTTAAAATTTCCACATATGAGAAATAACAGGATATTTGCCTTTCTGAGTCTGGCTTTTTTCACTTACTATCATGTCCTCCATTTCCCTCCATTTTCCCTATAACTCTATTCTTCTAAGGCTGAATAATACTCCATATTTTATTTATCCATTCACCTGTTGGCAAGCACCCATATCGATTCCATATCTCAGCTATTGTAAACAGTACCACAATAAACATTGGTATTAGTCACATTCCCTCACTGAGACACAATACCCAACATCCAAAACTTGAATTATAAGAGATTCATTTTGACTCATGGTTTTCAAGGTGTCAGTTCACAACCAGCTGGCTCAAAAGCAGGAACAGCCTAGTGGTAGAGAGAGGACAGATGCTTTTCTCATAGCAGTCAGGGAACAGAGAGCAAAGGGAGATAAACCCTTGTAAGTCATGCCTCCAGTGACCAACTCCTCTGACCAGGCCCTACTTCCTAACAGCACATTATGAACTCACCAGTGGATTAATCTGGTGAGTATAGTGCCCCTACAGCCAGTCACCTTCCAAAAGCCCCACCTCTGAACACAAGGCTTTGGAGGGGGGGCATTCTAGATCTAAACCATGACAGGTACACAGAAACCTCCTTTTTCTGCTGACTTCATTTCCTATGAATATATACCCAGGACTAGGATAGGTGGATCACATGCTATTTCTATTTTTCATTTTTTTGAGGAACCTCCATACTCTTCCATTGTGTTTGTTTTAGCTCATAGATTGTAAAATAGATTAATTGACAACAATTCTCCTGTCTCTAATCTTTATCAACACCCTCAAAGCAAATGCTTGATGTTCCTGGAACATCCTAAATATCCTTCTACCTGTTCTGGTCTTTATCATTAACTTGTCACCTTTCTATGGGTTTAAAGGAGGGATATGGAAAAGAGTGGGCCAACTCAATTGTGAATAAAGAGCAAGGTTGACTTTGAATCAGACAAAAGAATTTTGATTTCATATATGTGACTCGCCCTATATGTGATAACAGGGAAACAGCTTAGTGGCTGAGTTTTAGATTCCTCATCTGTAGGGTGACTATAAGCATGTCTATCCCATAGGATGGTTGTAAGGAAAAATTAAGATGTCAAATTCTTTTTCGTTCTGTGAATCTTAGAAATGACCAATACAAATTTTATTTTGTTGCAGTTCCCCCATAGGAAACTCTGCAAAAAAGTGTCCAGGTCTTGCACAATAATATGCAGCAGATATAATTTCTGAACTTTCTACATTGATTTAATTTAATAATTGAACAAAAATTTCAAGAGTAGCACAAGAAATTATCTTATATCTTTACCCATATTCACCATTATTTACATTTTATTCTGTATATTTTATTGTTCTTTCTAAGTCTGGAAAAATATTTTTTCTGAACTATTCATTAATTGATTATTGTGCCCCTTTACTCTAAAATATTTTAGTGTTATGTTACTAAGAGCAAGGATATTTTCTGGCATATTCATAGAAAATCATAAAAATTTAACATTAA